GGTCGTCGTCGTCGTGGTCGTCGTCGTCTTGGTCGGTCGGTCTGTCGGACGTCGACGTCGGCGGCGTCATCGTCGTCTTGGTCGGTCGGTCAATCGGTCGGGCGTCGTCGTCGGTCGTGGTCGTCGTCGTCGTTCCGGTCGGTCGGTCGGTCGGTCGTCGTTTCGGTCGGTCGGTCGGTCGTTCGGTCCAGTCGCCTGTCGGTCGTCGTCGTTGGTCGTCTCTGTCGGTCGGTCGGTCGGTCCGGTCGTCAGTCGTTGTTCGTCAGTCGGTGGTCGTCGTCGTCGTCGTCTCGGTCAGTCGGTCGGTCCGATCGTCGGCGTCGGTCGATCGGTCGGTCCATCAGTCGTCGGTCTTCGGTCGTCGTCGTCTCGGTCGATCGGTCGGTCGTCGTCGTCGTTCTCGTTGTCGGTCGTCGGTCGGTCAGTCGGTCGATCTGTCGGCATGTCGATCGGTCGGTCGTCGTCGGTTCGTCCGTCGGTCGGTGGCCGTCGCTGTCATCGGTCGGCGTGGTCGTCGTCGTCTTGGTAATTACGGCGGTCTGTCGGACGTCGTCGTCGGTCGTCGTCGTCTTGGTCGGTCGGTCGGTAGGTCGGTCGTCGTCGTTGGTCGTCGTCTCGGTCGGTCGGTCGGTCGGTCGTCGTTTCGGTCGGACGGTCGGTCGTTCGGTCCAGTCGTCGGCCATCGGTCGGTCGTCGTCGTTGGTCGCCGTCTCGGTCGGTCGGTCGCTCTGTCCGGTCGTCGGTCGTCGTTCGTCGGTGGGTTGGTCGTCGTCGGTCGTCGTCGTCTCGGTCGGTCGGTCGGTCGGTCCGATCGTCGGCGTCGGTCGATCGGTCGGTCCATCAATCGTCGGTCCTCGGTCATCGTCGCCTCGGTCGGTCGGTCGGTCGGTCGGTCGTCTTTCTCGTTGTCGGTCGTCCGTCGGTCGGTCGGTCGATCCGTCGGCCTGTCGGTCGGTTGGTTGTCGTCGGTTCGTCGGTCGGTCAGTGGCCGTCGCTGTCGTCGTCGGCGCCGTAAGATATGGCTCCTTTTGGGCTCCCGTCTGGCTCCATCTTGGCCTCGTGGCTCCCTCTTGGCTCCCTCATGGCTCCCTTCTGGCTGACTTGTCAGTCCCCTTTGATTCCCGCGTGGCTCCCTTTTGGCACCATCTGGGCTCTCTTATGGCTCTTCCTCTTGGCGCCCTTCCTCCTCTCCCTTTTGACCGCGAGGATGACAATAGGGAGGATCAGGAGGATGGGAAGCAGGAGACTGAGGAAAAGTAGGATGAGGATAAGCATACAGATGGAGATGAGGATGGTGCTAGTCGCTCATCAACACTCAACTTCGCTACTAACAATGGTTCATTGACTGTAGATCACCATGGTCAGAGTCTGACACCTTCGAAACCTTGCGCATTGACGTCATCAACTGTGGCAACTCTCCAAGAAGGATCGAATGCGACCTTCAGTCACAGCCAGAATCAGAAAAAATCAATGACATTTTTCGGTAAGAGGTGGAGAAACACCGAAATGCGACGTTCTGGAAAAAAAGGACGGGCAAATTTAGCGGCCTGCTGCTAGGCTGTGATCCAAGCGCAGCAGATCCCAGTGCACCCAGGGCGCAGCCCAACAGCGCGGCCTGTGCCTGAGATCTGCGCATCTCTCGCACGCGCGTCTTGGACGCACACATTGGCCCTGGTCACAAAGGCAGATTTTCCTGCCCCCGAAACAGCTTCGCCTTTTTTCGGGTAAGAAATCCAAGGTCTGGAAGCCAGTGGAACTCCCATCGCGGATTGGCAGTGCATATTGCCGCCGCCCTCATCAGACAAGGACGCCTCTCGTGCACGTTCCTGAACCAGCGCCCCCACCGTATCGTCGTAAAGCCTCTGGGGGAACGTGGTGCCCGGACCGGGGTGAAGACGCACGTCGCTGTCTTGAAGTCGGGGAGACTTAGGACTCGGGTACGTGGGACTCGGGCTGGCCTTACGGGGGCCATCATAAAAATGACGAGACCCAATCTGAAATTTGACGCGGGCTCCCGCTGCAGACATCCCACGAAAACGGGACCGTCAAAATCCAGGACGCGCTCGTCAAAAAAAACGCAAACCCGAGTTCCGGCTTACTCGAGTCTTACGTTTCCTCGATGAAGGTGCTTCGACGTCAGGGATGGGGTGGCGCAGCATGGCCGGCACAAGGCCGATCGGGGCACGAGCGAGGCCACGCTGAGACCCCCCTCTCCGAGCGCCGAGTCGCTGGAAGGGGCCTTGACCTCCGACGACCTCCGAGACCATCAGAACACCTCCTCCTCCTCCGCTCTCCTCCTCCATTCTCGTCCTCCTCCTCCTCCTCCTCCTTCTCCTCCTCCTCCTCCTCCTCCTCCTCCTCCTCCTCCTCCTCCTCCCCCTCCTGCGCACAGGCAGCCCTGAGAGATGGTCCCAGCTGGCCTCGGCAGGCCCCCCTCCATGGTAGCCTGGGGCGGTCGCGGTCTCGGCACCCGCTGGGGCGCCGAGCGACGCTGAGGCTTCCAGACGCGGCGCATGGTTGTTCAGACGCCCTGGGCTAATCGCCCCGTAAGGCAGGTCGAGGCAGGCCTGGGCTCCGGAGGCGCCCATAGCCTCCAAGAGCCCGAAACCTCCAAGAGATTCGATGCTTCTCGCACGATGCTGCCTCTGTCCCGCCTCCGCCCCTGGGCCCCGGCCCCCACCTAAGGCCCCAGATCGACCACCCGTCGCTGGCAGCGGACAGCCACCGCGAGTCACCCCCCTGATGCCGTCCCTGCCCCGCCTACACCCCTGCAGCCCCCCCCCCCTCGAGGAGGGAGGGAGAGAGGGAGGAGGAGGATGAGGATGAGGAGGAGGAGAAAGAGGAGAAAGAGGAGGAGGAGGAGGAACAGGAAGAACAGGAGAAAGAGGGAGAGGAGGAGGAGGAAGGAAGAAGAGGAGGAGGAGGACGAGGAGCAGGAGCAGGAGGAGCCTCATAAGAATGATGATGATGAGGAGGAGGATGATGAGGAGGAAGAGGAGGAGAGAGAGGATGATGGTGATGATGATGATGAGGCGGAAGAGGAGGAGGAAGAGAAGGATGAGTAGGAAGAGGAGGAGGAGGCGGAGGAGGAGGATAATGAGAAAGAGGAGAGGGAGGACGAGGAGGCGAAGGAGGAGGAGGAGGAGGACCAGTGTAAACCCAAGAGCCATCAACGATGTTGCAAGAAACCCTCCCTCCAAGATCCCTCTTCATAGGGCCCTACAAGGATATATTTCCACTGAGGGAACTGCCTCGTAGGAAGACAACCGTTTGAAGGCCCTGAAGCATGCCAAACAAACATTCCCGAGACTCCAACGCCACGGGTCATCACTGTTGCATCTTGACGATCCTGAATCGCGCCAGAACGCCATTCCTGGGTCTCCAGCACCGCGAATCAACGTAACTGATGCGCCGTCATAATCCTGATTCTTTCCAACACAACATGGCTGGCACGCTGTCCATGGGATTCCGTGACAATCTTGCTGTCTGTCATAAAAACAACGGATGTGCGCGGCGCTCAAGCGAGAACCACATATTGAAAAAGAGCTGCCCTCAATCCGTGAAGTGTTTGCAATTGTTGTTTAAAGCGGATGTGCGCGGCGCTGGAGCGAGAACCCCATTTTGAAACAATCCGCCCTCTATTTGTAAAACTGTTGCGATGTTTTTGAATCCTCAGGGTCGTAGATGGTGAGGAAGTCTCAAGCGAAGGGCCTGGCCCGCCCTTTCGACCGGCTGGGGGTGCGACAGGGAGAAGTCATGTAAGAGGAAGGCGTATGGAGGAGGAAAACGAAGAGAAGGAGGAGGAGAACAAGGAGGATAACAGGGAGGACGACAGGGAGGAGGAACAAGAGGAGGATGCGGAGGAGGATGCGGAGGGGGAGGAGAAGGATCAGAAGGAGGAGGAGAAGGAGGAGGAGAAGTTGAGGAGGAGGAGGACGAGGGCTACGACTGGGGGGAGGAGGAGGAGGAGGAGGAGGACGAGGAGTAGGAGGAGAAAAAGGAGAAGGAGGAGAAGGAGGAGGATGAGGAAGAGGAGGAGGAGGACGAGGAGGAGGAGGAGGAGGAAGAGGAGGACGAGGAGTAGGACGGGAGGAGGAGGAGGAGGAGAGGGAGGAGGAGGAGGAGGAGGAGGAGGAGGAGGAAGGGGAAGAGGAGAAGAACGAGGAGGTGGAGGAGGACGAGAAGGGAGAGCAGGAAGATGAGGAGGACGAAGAGGAGGAAACGAAGGAGGAGAGAGAGGAGGAAAAGGACGCGGAGAAGAAGGAGGAGGGGGAGACGAGGGCGAGGCGGAGGAGGAGAAGGAGGAGAAGGAGGAAGAGAGAGAGGAGAAGAAGGAGGAGCAAGAAGAGAGGCAGGATGTGAAGGATAAGGAAGAGGAGGGGGAGGAAGAGGAGGAGGAGGAGGAGGAGGAAGAGGAGGAGGAGGGCAAGGAGGACAAGAAAGAGGAGGAGGAGGAGGAAGAAGATGGATGGATGGACCATCATCGAAAGAGGCCATGGCGGCCGCGCGGAGGCAGACGACAGCCAGGGCCCCAGATGTCACGCGGGTTCCGCGCCGCCTCGAGCACGCCGCGCGGACGTCGTGGCGACGTGGAAAGGGCCCCGAAGCATCGTAAACATGCATCCGCCCAACCCCTGGCCTACCCCGCGGGCAAGCCAGGGGGGCGGAAGCCACCCTCGCGGGGACAGAAGCGGGCAAACCAACAGCCGCCGGCGGCCGCCCCCACGCCCCAAGGGGGAACGGGAACGCACGGGGCGAGCCCGACCCAGGCGGCGGCCACCCAAACCCGCGCCGACGGGCGCCACCTAAAATTTCGAGGTGGACCCAGCAGGACAGAGCGAGGGCCCGCTCCTACACTATGCCAACCTCGGCGAGGGCTCACCACGCACGCCGCTACCCGCTCCGCGCACTGCCTCGCGCCGCACAAGATCGCCTCAGCGCCTCTTCGGCCTTGTCGGTCCCGGCGCCCACCCAGATGAGGAGCCACCGCGCGCCACCGCCTCCGCCAGGTCGAGAGCCTGCTGGCAGGCCTCGGCGACGTCGCTCTTGACCTCGTCTAGCTTCCGCTCGGCGTCGGCGAGCGCCACTCGGAGGCTCATCTTCTCATGCTCAGCTCAACGACCTGCTGCGCCCGGTGCTCGGTGCCCATGGTCGCAGAAGTCAGTGTCGCCCTCACGGCCTCAAGCTCGGTTTCGCGCCCTGCGACCATGCCATTGTCCTCGGAGGCCGTCGCCACGTTGCTGTCCAGCTTGGCGTGCAATGTCACGACCTGCTGCTGCAACTGCTTCACTTCGGATTCCGCCGCGGCTCTGGCTGCCGCCTCGGCCGCCAGCTCCGTTTTCAGATCCGAGATCTCCCTGTGCATCATCTACTTGATGGTCGCCTCGTTCTGCTTGAACCTGCCGCCATCGATATCCTTGCGCTGGGACTGCTTGCTCTCCATGTCCATCGCCTGCGGCGCCACGCTCTTGTTCTCGAGCTCTGGGTGGACCCTCCCGGGGAGCTGATCGTTGTCGACCTTGGCCTGCTTCAGCGCCTCGGTCTGCTTCACCTCCACAACGGCCTGATCCGGAATTACTTGCGCGCTCTCATCGGAGGCAGATTCCGTGAAGACGCCACGATGTCCTGCAGCAGCCGCACATCCGGGTGCCCCGCCGTATTGCGGAGCTTGCTGATCTTGCCCATATCGATAAGCGACGCCCTGGGCTCCACGCTCGCGCAAGGCCGCCTTTGCCGCAGCAGCGCTAGGCTTAGATTCGAAGCCCTCACCCCGCTGCACCTCATGGAGGAGGACCTCGGAATTGACGAGCATGGACTCGATGGGGGCCCGAGCGGCACTGCCACCCCCAGCCTCCAGCTCCTGAGCAACGCCTCCAGCTAGCGCAGCGCCTCGCACAGCCGCTGACACCAGGCAGCAGGCGCGTCTGGCCGAAAGGCCGCCCGCGCCGCCGCCGCCGCCGCTGCCGCCGCTGCTGGCGAGAGCGGTCAGCGCCGCGGCAACGCCTCCATGGGCCGCCTCCACCGCCATGGGGAGGCCATCCGTCGCAGCCTGCGATGACGCTCGCGCGCCGCGCGAGAGCCGAGGCCGACTCCTGCCCGATGGCTTGAGCCAAAATGGCTACGGAGGAGGAGGAGGAGGAGTAGGAGGAGGAGGAGGAGGAGGAGGGGAAGGAGGAGGAGAAGGAGGAGAAGGAGGAGGAGGAGGAGCAGGAGGAGGAGGAGGAGGAGGAGGATAAAGGCTTCTGGACAGTGCTGGCCTTCCCTTGGGCCACCGACTGCCCCACGCGCCCCTCCCACCTCCCCAGCGCCCCCTCTCGGCTCCAGGATCACCGAGGGCCTCCGCCGCCGGGCCCCTCCCAGGGGCATCGGCGCCCCCCGCCGCCCCCCGCCGCGCGGCCGCGCGGCGCTGCGCGCGCCGCGCCGCCCGACGGCCCTGCGAACGCGCGCGCGCGCCCTCCCCGAGCGGAGCGGCCGCGCCGAGCGGCGGCGGCGGCGGCGCCTCGACGGCGGCGGCGGGCGCACTCGCGCTCGGCGGCGGCGGCGGCGGTGGCGGCTCCGGCCTCGGCGGCGGCGGCGGCGGACGCCGTGGGCCCTCTTCTCGCAGTCTGTTTCCCAGGATTGCTGTGTTGTTGGGTCGTCTCTCCTCTCGATTCCCCCGCCCCCTCCTCTCCCTCTTCCTCGTCCGCCTCCTCCATCTCCCCCCCCTCTCCCACCCACCCACTCACTCACTCACTCATTCACCCACCCACTCACTCACTCACCCACTCATTCACTCACTCACTCACTCCCTATCTTTTTTTGTTTGACTCACTCTCACCTTCACTCACTCACTTCCCCCTCCTCTTCCTCCTTCCCTCTCTGCCCTTGCCTTCCGCCCGCATGACGCATGACCACTGCGCACTCCTCACACATTTCGCTCCCCCGTCGGAAGGTCCAACAGGGCAGCTCTTCGAACTGCGCCTCGCCGTGGCCACCAAAGTCCCCAGGAGGCCCAGGACGGACCGCAAACGTGCGGCACCATTTCTTCTGTCCTTGCAGGCCATTGTCGATCCTTCTCCGCACCGCCGATCTTGACAAGCCAGCCAGCTTGCGCCTCCGGTAGCACCGCGCAGAGTGTGCCTTCCAAGGGAGGATCGGGTGTCCGTCCACGGGGGAATCACCGTGGGTTGAAGAAATGTGCGCCCTTCGTTTGCTTGTACTTTCGCCTTCGAACCACGTGCAGCGCGCACGCAGACGCGCCGAGTGGCCGACTCGGGCCCCTCGCCCGAACCACTCAGCCCGACAAGCGTACACGTCGTTCATTTCTAATCGGTGCTCGTTTCGAATTGTGCTCGTTTCTGATTGTTCCTGGCCCCCTAGTGGCCAGGAAGAGGCCCAGGACGGAACAATTATAAATGAGAGGCTCCTGGCCCCCCAGAACTTTCGACGAACTAGAAATGAGCAATGTCTATGAATCGCACGTAGAGGCACCCCAGAAAATCGAAGACCTCTCGAATAACTAGAAACGAACAATGTGTAGAGCATCGCGGAGGACTTCAGGCGAGAGCCCTGCAGCACGAGCCACGGCGAGAGGAGCCACGCTGCAATGCAGGACCGAGCGCACCGTCCGCGGCCGAGAGGGGCCCCTGCGAAGCCCAACAGGGAGAAAAGCTTGCTGTGCATCTCGTGGGACCGCGGTGGCAATCCAAGGTCCGTTTAGGGCCACTCTCCTGCAATCCGCCATCCCTCCTCCCCCTCCTCCTCCTCCTCCTCCTCCTCCTCCTCCTCCTCCTCCTCCGCCCGAGAGAACGGAGGTGGCGCTCGGCGACGATCCCAGGACGGTGGCACCCAGTACCCCGATCGGCTTTTTATCTCCTCAACGGCCTCGCGGTATGCCCCCTTCGAGGATTGGAGTTCGAGTGTCAGGATCTGTAGATGTCCGTCGCCCGATAGATGCGTTCTGGAGGCTTTTCATCGCCTCGACCAGATCCGCCTCAAGGTTCTGGTCGAAACGCATCCCTAGACAAAGCCAATGTTCGACAATTTCCGACACTGGCATCTAGGCGTCGCGGATATCAGGCACGACGGGCCTCTTCGTCCCGCGCCGGGCCCTGGGACACCACCGCGGATCGATGAGGTTAAGGAAGCGGGTAGCAGCTTTGCTCACGACGTTGTGGCTGTTCACGACACGGCGCCGTTTGCCTTGTGGGAAAAGAACGGCGAGGGAAGGATGAGATCGGGGTGGAGTGGATTCCGGTGCCTCTTGGGGTCATTTTGGCGAATGTCACAGGGGAGAAGCGGATGGTGGGGGAGGAGGTCCATGAAGAAGGAGGAAGAGGGGAACCAGAGATGAAGACAAAGGATGAAGGGGTCTAGGGGATTTAGGGTCGAGTGGAAAAGGGGGAGATGGATGGCAGTGGTCCGAATGGTTTCAGGATCAAGGATGAAAGGGTCTTTTTTCCGCAGCTACAACACAAGGAGATGGCATCCAGCCGATCCACAAATGAGCAGACCAGCGATGTCGTAAATCAGTCGCAGACGTCTACTGACTGGACAAGGGGAAGGGAGGAGGGGGGGAGGAGGGGGAAAATAGTTCTGCTTACAGCATCAGGGCCACAGATCGCAGCCGCTCCGGAGGAGGGACACAGGGGGGAGGAGGAGCGTAGTCGGGGGGAGGATAAGCGAGAACGACAAGAGGGAAGAGGAGAAGGATGAGGGAGAAGGCGGCAGGAGGAACAGAGCAGGTTGTTTCGATTGTATTATGTGCGTGTGTATGTGTGTGCGCGTTGTATTTGCCCATGCGCGTGATGAAAATTTGACTCATTGTTGCCCTTGTGGCACTTGGCTGCGACCCATTGCAATGTCGACGGCACTACGTGAAACGCAACATCAGTCTGCGTGAATACCACTACCCAAACATACAATTAGCGCTGCTTGAGCGCTGCTAGCTCGGAACGCCAGCGTATACCAAGCTTACACCCGATGTGCACCAAGGTCAAAAAAACCATGCTGCAGAGGACGTCCCGAGCGACACGCTCGTTACCTGTTTGTGTGTTATCTGTCCTCTACTGTTCGCACCCTGCGAGGACCCTACAAAACACACATATTACGTCCAAAGCGACGTGCGATCGACGCGTGCCAGGCATCCCATTTACCCGTACACACATACACGTCATTCATTTCTAATCGTGCTCATTTCTGATTGTGCTCGTTTCTAATTGTGTCCTGGCCCCCTAGTGGCCAGGAAGAGGCCCAGGATAGAACAATTAGAAATGAGAGGTTCTTGGCCCCCCAGAAAATCAAAGAACTTTCAAAGAGTTAGAAATGAACAATGCCTATGAATCGCATGTAGATGACCCCCTCCCCTGCAAGTGTTTGAGACAAGTGCGCGCGGCGCCAAGGCGAGAGCCCGAGTTCGAAAACGGCCCACCCTCCATCCGAAAAACTGTGTCCCATAACGTAAGCGTTGCCTCAGGGATGCTGACTGTCTGTGGAAAAATGCGGTGGGTGCAACGAGGCTGTAGTGAGAGGCCCTCATCGGTTTCCTCGCTTGGGCTACTTGGGGCTCCTCAAGAAATGCCTTCCCTAGATTCCCTGGGTTCCACAACCAATGCCAGGCGGTGCTAAGCACTGCACAGCAATGCCGAGCAACTTCGAGCAATTGTAAGCAAAGCCAACCAATGCAAAGCGACGCCAAGCAATGCAAATCAGTAACATTGAAAAGGCAAGGCCGTGCAATGCCAGGCACTGTCAAGGAATGCCCAGCAATGCCAAGCAATGGCGAGGCAATGCCCAGCATCTCTGAACAATGCAAAGGCAATGTCAACTAATGCCATGCGAACCAGTACCAAGCGACGCCAAGCAATGCCACTCCATTTCAAGCATTGCCAAACAATGCAAATCAATGCCAGGCAATGTCAAGCGATGCCATGCAACGATTCCAGGCAATGCGAAGCATTGCTAACTAGCGCGAAACAATGCTGCGCATTGTTCAAAGCTGCCTTGAACTATTTGGGAAACTCCCTACTCGGGGGCTCTCCGGGTGTTCAATTTTCAGCCAGTGTCCGCGGCGCCAAAGAGAGAGCTTCGTTTTGAAAATCACCTTCTGTGCCCAATCCGTGTAACTATTGTAAGCTAGAACTTAGAAACCACGAACTGCGAACATGTCTCGGGCGAAAAGCCCGGCCCGCCCTCTCGACATGCCAGGTGGTGAGACAGGGAGGAATCATCCAGGAGAGAGAAGAGTGGCGGAGGAGGAGGAGGAGGAGGAGGAGGAGGAGAAAGAGGAGAAGAAGGAGAAGGGAGGAGGTTTGACTCCAAGAGGCTCGAGGTGGGGGAAGGAGTCGGTGGGTCTTGGAGGTTTTGGACTGGGCGTCCGGGGCAGAGGAGAGGAGGGCCAGGTCGAGCGAGCCCAGGCGACATCGAGAGGGGCGCTCCCTGGACCTCACAAGACCTCTAGCCGACTCGAGGAATGCAGTCAACCCGTAAGATCCGCGCTGGAGACCTCCCAGCTCGGCGCCTGGAGGCCG